GGCCGCACGTGCGCTGATCGGTGCGGGAAGTCGGCTGGCTGCCTGGCCGGCTCGGCCGTTTAAATTCCTCTCGCACTCGGCGGCTGCCAAGCGAGCTCAAAGTGCAGATTGGCACGTCGCTCGTGGCCGGAGCGCGTCGCCACGGAGGCGCAGTTGGCCACCGACGCGAGCTCAGCGACCCAGGCATTCGCGCTCGGCTAGCAGGCGCCGCTCTGCGAGCGAGCGCGCTAACTCCCATTGCGCGGAGATACACTACGGAACCGAAATCGAGACCTGAAATGACGTACGTCCTAGGACGGCCGACTAGAAAATGAAACCTATGCTTGACAACGAAACCGGAGCCAGAATTCCTGGGGCCAGTTTTGCTGCGGGGGCGCGCAATGTTTGTTTGACAAAACACGAAATACTCAAATACCGAACAGGCGGCACAAGAGAACAACAAAGACGCGGGAGAGTGTGGGGCGTCGAGAGAACGGGCAGACCGCTGACGGCGAACTGCCGCGACGGGCCCAGAGGAGAGAGGGAGAGGGGGGAGAGAGAGGATAGCCGGACACGAGTGTGCAGATCCTCAGCCGCGGCTTTGGTCCGGGAGTGGGACAGCGGGCCTCGCGCTGTCGAGCATCAGAGGCCCCATAATGAGAGGCCCCCAAGAGGGAGGGAGGGCGGCGGTGCGGCAGCGGCCGGGCCGCCCCTTCAAGCCTCGTCGCCCCTTCAGGCAAGCATCACGTCGTCGCGCGCGGCGCGGAGGACGGCCGCCATCTGGTCAAAGTCCTCCGGCTCAAAGGTTGCCGGCAGGCGGATGTCGATGGCGATCTTGATGAGGCGCTCGGTGCGCGGGAGGTCCGTCTTGGGGAGCGCGTACTCCCAGCAGCGGAAGTTGCGCGCGTTGTCGGGCGAGCCGAAGAGGCCGGCCGGGATGCCGCGCCGCTTGGTCGCGGCGAGGAAGGCGCCAACCTGCTCGTCGCTCATCTGCAGGTTGATCTGCAGCGAGTCCTTGACCGGTCGGACGCGCTCGTCGTAGGGCGGGATGTCGAACTCGGCCACCTGCGCACACGCGCGGCGGTGTGAGGAGACGCCGCCTGCAGGTCGCAACCGGCGGGGCGTCGGAGGCACGTCGGCGATCTGCGACGTGATTCGCTCGTACATCTCGTTGTAGCGCGCGATGCGCTGCTCGATGTTTGTGATCTGCGGCCGCACGCAGGCGGCGGCGAGGTCGGACATGCGCAGCGAATAG